ATAAACTTTTGCTGTTTTTCTTAATGTGCTGACATGATTGGATATGGCAGACTACGCTTAATGTCATCCGTATACTAGAAACTAGGAATTTCTAGAGGATAAGGCTCTTTACTAACCAGACTTTGATGCCTATGTTTATTTGTATCTTCAATACTTCAACATACACGGGTTACTGATATTTATTAATTTTTGCCAGTAAAATATACGAATTTACCAATTTACTAAAAGTTTATACTATCACCGCGGTGATAATGTATTAAATCTTATGTCCTTAATAGTGATGATATAAATTTGCTAGTGATGATATAAATTTGCTAGTGATGATATAAATTTGCTAGTGATGATATAAATTTGCCAGTGATGATATAAATTTGCCAGTGATAATTGAACTTTCCTAGTTTTGACCAACCAGAGCATTGCTATCTAGTCACTGTATATAATGTCGCCGATTTTCCTGGTCCTGCTCGTGAAAAATATAGACATCCTGCCATACTCGTTTAATATATATGATCTTAAACAGAAAACCACTAAATATCCCCTGAACTGAATATTTTGAACGGTGTATGTATATCACCTCATCTTTTGTGAATATAAAGCGAGGCTTGTAATGATGAATTTTACAATACTAAAGCATTAATAATTGATAGTGAATTTTTAGTCATCGATGTTCGCTGTGACCTGCATGTCCCGTTGTACTTTATTCTATTAGGTACATCCCTGGCGAGTCATAGAAGGACGAAACTGTAGAATGATACAGTTCAGTGCATGTTTGGCAGTATTGTATTTAATTTGCATAAAAGATTATTGTTACTTATTTCTTCCTTTGTGCAATGTTGTAGACATAAATGTTGCATTAATGATTTATAATTAACCTGAAACTTTTAAACAAACTACTTTTTCTTTACCAATAAACAATATAAAGACCTACAGGTTAATAAGTTCTCAATCCAACCTCGAAATTAATGACACGATGGCAAAATATAAACAGTGAAGAAGATAATCATGGTGACACTTGAATAAAAACTAAAAGGAGTTGAAGATGAAATAGGTAAACATCTCTTGCTTCACTGACTATATCCACTATGTAAATCTGGGACAATATAAGGACGTTATGTAAACATACAGGTGAACAAGGTTCAAAACAAAATCATCAATCTTTATCGAGAATCAAACACATCTAGGTCACTGCACAGATATATTATTGAATGAAGGTCTCGAAAACCTTCTATTTAGGAAACAGACACCGAGCTTGAACTTTACCATCGTTAGCGCAATGTGGGGTGTGACCCCTGTAAACAAAATGTTACTATGTATCTAGTGTTACAAAAGTTATTTCAATGAAAATTGTGATTTTTCCATTGCTATACATATCTACCCAAAATATTTCATCGACTGCAGTGAACTATATCTCGCTGACCTAAACTTGTTTCCCAAGATAACGCAACCTTACGACCATGTTAGAGCGGGAGCTATTTTTAGGAACGTTGTAGACTATATAGCACTTCCACCTACCTTTTTGTAAAGATATATACCTAATTTTTAATATGTAATGAAGGATAGAATGTTACATATATTGTTTTCACGAGCTGATGTAATAAGATAGTCTTAAGACAAACAAATTGCTTAGCATTTTCATGCTGTATTCAGAAACAGGATATCGTATCACAAAATGGCCCATTATGAACAAAATTTGTTGACAGAGCTTGTTCAAGTTACATCAAAATATAATACAATTGTTGCTTTCAATAACACTGATATTTGATTAATAAACTAAAAATGTCTGTTTTAAGGTCTTAATTAGTACTATTTATAAATGATACAAAGTAAACATTTTTCACACTCAATGTTAATCTATAGTATTTAATGGACACATGGAGAGAATGATATTTAAAAGTACTATTATGACCAAGACGAATTGAAATCTTGATTGAAAGGTTGTTTGAGAAGTCCGAGCACTGCTGATAAAAATCGATTAATATCGAATGGTCATATTTTGTGATAATATAACACATTTTTCAGTAGAAGTATTCCATCGCTATATTCTACAAGAGAAATGTCTTATGTAAGCATTGTGTTGAAGAAAGATATAGGATAGCAGGGAATATCGGGTATCGTCTGACTTCGGAACAATTACAAAAGTTTCTTTTTTGGTGTGCAGACTAAGAACAGGCGCAGTTAGTTCTAACATAAAGGTGACCTCAGTACTAAGGAATTGCATAATGACGAAAATTATTACGGAAATACACATCTTAGCTGTCATTTAAATATATTGTGATAGTTAATATCATGGAGTATAGTATTTCCTGTGTAAAGAGTGATGCATAAGTTCCTGGGTGATCATGTGATAAAATGTCAACGATAATAATAGGTGAATTTAGTTGATATCATGGAATTTACCTTACATAAATGTCTGTTGAAGAAAAGTAGAGAAATTGATAGACTTGAAAATCCCTCCTTCTGCCAATAAATAGATTAACTGTGGGAGTCCATTTCTCTACCGCCCAGACTCACCACTTAGATACACATCATAGCTGTACATCAATGTTTTTATATATCAAAGTGTAAGCAACACCGGGTATCGATTGCAGAATTGAAAATTACCCAATCATGTTGAAATCTAATATAACTTATCGTAACTGAGAATCTGTGTACTGTGGATAGAGGGAGAAGTGCGGCCATAAGAGATAACAGGTTCGTGTGAACGTGATCACTTCATTCAGAGATTGGATGTGGCGAAGGCTGTGCATTCGTTGTCATGGCTGCTGTCACGTGGAGGTGTTGACGTATCAGCTGAGTGATAGGTGCCCGTATGATAACGTCTAGTATCTCACAGCTGGTGTGCACGTTATCACAGCGTCTTGTTAATTTGAAATTTATTGATGTCAATGTACTTGTTAAAACTGTCTACAGACTACCCTAGATAACTCCTCGTACATCATGCTATATTGAAAGAGTATCACTTCAGGAAGTATTTGGGTTGCTTTATCAAATATATTTAGCACGAACGTCTAACCTTTTTTTATACTTTTAACCGTGGTTTTTTATGGCTGCCTTTAGTTTGGAGTGTTGTTCAAAACGCCGGTATATGTTCCATCGATAAGGACATACTGGCCTTCATTTTGGTGCAATGATGTTTTGAGCATCAGTTTTTTCTCCTCCAGATTTTTTACCTGACCTGAATGAAACGTGTTTGTCATATTACTTTGGTATTTGTCTTGACCTTTTACGATAAGTATCAGGTATTTGCTATTAGCCTACCTTCTGTCGATATTTTATTGAAAGTCATAATCTTTTTTTATATCTTATAAACAAAGAGCTATTGATTACTTATTGATGATAATTAATAGTTTGTGAAAAATTAAAAAACGCAAAAAAATTATGAAACTGGTAACAAAGAATTAGTAGGTTGTTCCGTACCCTCGTCCGGAAATAAGGCAGGAATAGAAATAAGATATGGCACAAACGTACATGAATATTAGAAGTCGAACAAAAACAATAGAGAGTAGGCATAGCATAATGAATGAGTTGTATTAAAATTTTCGAGCAGGTACTTTTTCCGAAAAACGTAATTTGGTAATATGAATATTTCGTCTCCAAACGCTGAAAGCTACGTTAACGCCTTCGTGTTCACATTGAAACAGACACACGCCGCGTATAGATAGGCCTCGATTCCATCATCAGACCTGATAACACTAGGAATCCATCACTGTATAGACATTCATTTGATATGTTAAAGTCTAAGGGTATATATATCACAGGCACCACCCACGGTACAGTGTAAACTTACCTTAATAGATAGAACTTTCTGAACCCTGTTTTTTAAAGTTTAATTACATTTAACCAGTGGTTAGTTAAAAATTGTTTCCACGGGAAAAACAATAATCAATCAGTCAATCTGACCTATCTCAACAAGCCAACAGCTGTGAAATGATGTAAAATATTCACAATATGTAAATATAATTCCTATTTGAAAATGTTCATTCTCCACTCTCTCTAACCATTTGAATAGCCATTGTTTGAAAATGTTTCCGATGTCAAGGACCACTGACTGTATGACCAAGTACAGTCATTACCAGCATCTATTACAGTGATTACTATATTGTTTTAAAGAGCAATATATCTGCTCTAAGACAGCATCAAGCCGAGTCATGTTGGTGGTGTCATATCTGATAATGTTCACTCGTTACTTAACCGTTTTGCGTATTTTCTATAAGATCATATTTGGCATAATTCAAATTAACGAAAACGAATATTGTCATTTGTGTAAATATACTTAGACTAACTGTTTACAATAGTTGGCAATAGTAGTATTTGTAGTCTCTGCTAAGCAAACAATCCTTAGTATGGCGTTTCTATATTTTTCGCCATTAGCTTTTCTGTTCCTATTGCAAGTTGTAATGTCGTACAACTGTTAAGTCTGTGAATAAATTGCAGTACAATATTATTTTTTGTTTTCTATATAGAGCTACCTATGCGAACGGTGTAAAAAAACCGTGAAAAATATTGAGGTAAAAAAATGAATTAGAACACCAATACCTGTTTCGTGAGAGAAAAATCTGTTGTAATTCAAACTATTTGTAAATTAACTATGTTCTGTAGCTATATTGTTGATGGAAATAACGTAAATAACAGAACATAGGGGCTGTCGTGAAATCGGGAAGGGACTTCGACTCATCACAAATAACAACCAGAATACAGTACGAATAGCAAATAGTATACATGCCCCCACCCTTAGTTTGTATATATATAAGTTATATATGCTTAGCTGTTCATTTGGAATCCTGTATCTCTTCTTTGTAATTATCTAATGTTTCATAATTTGTGTCAGTATTTCCTAAAACAAGAGCGGGTACGTTGTTAAATATTTCATAAATATCATTAAGATGTACTGATGTGATTTTAATAACTTTTTTGGTTTTCGGTTTTGTTTCATTGTTTTGTTTGTGGTTTGTTTTCTGTTTTCCAAAACAAGGTGCATACGACAGACAACATAACCTGGTTTATAATGTATTAATTCTAGATTATATTCATTTTCAATGAGTAGTAATAAATAACAGTTTCCACAGCCTTAAACAGTGTTAACATTGAATTGTCTTGTTTGTATATAACTGTAGTCGGCCGACATGGATTTCAGGTCTTAATTCACACCTTTTTATATCGTTCATTGTCATGTGTCTCCTTCCTTCCTCTGCCGGAAGTGACGTCATATCAACATGTCACTGCAGTTGGACATATCATCGTGGTCCATGTGGGATTTCATGTGATCAGGAGACTTGCCATCTGAACTTGGACTCGTCTTTCCTCCGGTAAAACTGAATGGCCAGGTCTGGAAGTAAGCGGAATACATGATTAACAATTTTATTGTAAATTCGCAAATTCGGAGAGATGAAACGATGTCTCGTTTTCCTGACCTTAAAACTGATATTAAAGAAATTGTTTTTTAGTTTCACAGTATTTGAGTTTCAACATGTACAAGTCATTTCGAGAGTCTTAGTTTTGTAAACGGCCATCATTGACGCAGATGTAATATTACTATTGAATAGATAAGACGTCGCCCACTTCGACATCGAAGATGGCATTATTAATCTGTACAGTATGTATCTTCGCGTGTTGTTGGGTAAAATTCACATAATTTCTTATGAATCTTTAACGAAACATACGATCAATTGATTGTGTTTATGTCAAACAATTTCCTTTTTTAATTTTTGTTTTTGATTTTAATTAAAATTGACCTTTGCTGTATATTCTGTTACTAATTACTTTGGGTCCTGTTTCGCACATAAAATACTAATGAAGAAGTATTATTTAATCAAATTTATAACTGCATAAGTAAGTTGGCTATTCTTTTCATCACCTCCGACCTAACAAGAGCCATAATTGTCAAAAGTAATGCTGAGACAGGTTTTCAATAAAGAGATAAAAGTCGAAGCGGTATTGTCCGTGCAGGATATTGAATATAAATCATAATTAAGTACTGAAAGGCGTTGATACATAACGATGATGTGTCGTTGTGTGAAGTCCTAACTTCTGGTTTGTTCATATGTAATTAGGCTCATCGACCTTGAATGATAAATTGTCGTCCTTTCTTGACAAAGTATCAAGATCAAAATAAAATCGTCCACTTAAAATACTAATTTATGGGTTCTTTTTCGTTCTGCAATAAATCACAATTATGAAAATTGTGTCATTTCACACGAACAGGCCACAAATAATACCGGAGAAAATTTACTTCAGCCGAAGGTCGTAATTTACCTGTACAGTTATAACTGTCCACATTGGACCCTCATCAGCGCGTGCCGGCTCCGGGCTGTGACGTCACGGACCCGGCCCATACAAAAAGGTTATATAGAAAGAAAAAACACTTTATAACAGTCAACACCTCCCTATCTAATTACCGAGGGAGATGCCTGTGGTGAACTCTAGCATATATTACAGCGGTGTCTGTGGTCCTCACCACAACCTGGTTGGTCATGCCACCAAGAACTACCTCACAAAGTGACAATGGTACTTGTTACCGTATAATTTACGCTACAACAATCAAATATCCTTCATTTCACAGTAGTAAATGTCTTATGAATGATGATATGGTGTGTCAATTTGATTTATGAAGAGACTGTTGAGAGTGAGTGATTTACGGCCCTCGGGCTGTGATGTCGAGTGTAGGACAACCTCCCTCACTACCTTGTGTAAACCCACACTGGCACCATACAAATTAGGACGACAAATATACATTTCCTTCATGAAAAATAACGTCACTTTAGCTAATCTATATATATATCCAAAGAGTTATTTCTAGTACTGTTAGTGAAAAATGCTGATTTCAGAAAATATTATCATTAACAATTTTGCTAATTTATCTGTGTTATGTAGGTTTTATGTGTATTTGCCACAGCAACCCTTAATTGTCTTTTTTCAAAATATAGTACATTTCGGGAATTTCAAACAGCTGGAATATCCATAATTTATGTTGAAGTAATCATGATTGTTTTAATAGAATTCCGCATGAAATAACTAATATTTTAGTGGTTTAGGTCACACACAATTGTGCTATATATCTCATCAAACATTGAATGATGACGAATAAACTTAAATCACTCCAAAACTAATCTTACAAATACTCAATGGACAATAAAAGAATATTATCTTAAACTTCCTGTAAGTTTCCAAACAAAAACACAAGGATTACTCAATCATTCTGAATAAATTAGTTATTTAATCAATGAAAGTGATGTCAACTAAGCTACATAGTAAGACATCTTTAACAACAAGTCTATTTGCAATCAATAACATTTCATCTGTAACATGTTCAGTGTCAATTTCTCCTAAATTGATAAATGTTTAATAATGCTTTTCGACAACATCATCCTTGTTAATAATTTGTTGATAACTTTTTTTGCATTGATTTAGATACTCAAGATTGCACAAAAGACACACAAGTGATTCCTCATATATTTTAGAATTTTAGAAGAAAGTAAAATATGTATAGACAAACTAGCGAATAGCACATTTTAATTCAGAATTAAATTCAGGAGAGCCAAGCAATTAATTAAACTGCATCACACAGTTGTTTCGTCCTTCTTTTGTTGTATCATTCAGTATAAAACTAATGGATAAAAACATACCAAGACACTGTTGCTGTGGTATGCCCTATTTAAAAACGTACTGTAAAAGGTTATATGGTGTTGTAGGGTGACTTATTCACCTGGAAGATTTGACATACGACCTGTAAATATAGTGCTGAGTAACTAACGTCATCCATCTAAACACATCCCTACTACCACAAACGTCAGATCATCCTTCACCCAGTCACTAATACATTTACATAACATTGGTTCAACCTTGCACTGAAAGTTTATTTTTTATCACGTTATTTACCTTATGCAATCATTATTTCCATTTCTTGTCTTTTCTTTTATTTACTCGTTTTCATTTTTCTCTTTGACATCATTGCTGCAATTTACGATTTTTTTGCAATAATTTTCTATTTTGATTGGCGTTTTATATAGGATATTTAGGGAGCAATTTATATATAAAGCAGCTAAGTAATTAGCTTAATTTATGTTCGTAATATCATAACAAGCTTTTATTTGTTTTAATCCTGGGCTTCTTTTTTCTATGGGTGTGTATATATATACAATGTATATATGTGTATGTAAGATCCGGGCTTGCCTCAATGCTGGCTAATTATGGGCTGCTTCTGAGCTCATGTGTGTTACATAAGGGGCTGGTCACTGATTGGCCAGCTAACGTTTGGGCCCGCGTCCTCTTTCTCATTCAGCAGCCATCTTTAAATTGATTCACATCAGAAGCCCTGGATCTCAAGAGTTTAAAACCCACCCACAACCTCCTTATTTCTCATTATTTTTTAAGTAGTATTTGCTTCTATGGTTGATAGGATGCAATTACAGTATCTTGGAAATTTTTGTTTAGTATTATTGTCATTTGTGTTTTTGAGTCATAGCTTTGACTCTATGATATATATAATAAATTTAATGTCACCATTTTGGTGGCCATTTTCATTCAATCTTGTTGTCTGCGTTTTCTTGTTATGAGTGTAGAACATAAAAATATATATACATGTGTGTATATATATATATTTGAATTCAACTTCCAATTGTACAACTCATGTGAATGAAACAACAGAATAAACTGACGTGTACAGACCGATTCATTGGATCTGGCATCAGATAGATTTACTTACTATTAGGTAAATTATCTTATCAAACTTTACTCTCTGCCATTGCTTGCGATGTTTTTTAAATTTCATAGTTTATATTTATAGACCATCTTATCAAAATCTTTCTTTGTATATTAAGAGCAAAATAATTACTACAAACAATTAAAAACATATACATTGTTATATTAATTTAATATTGATAACTCAGTGGACTGCACTGACAAAAAGTGCATCCACTCATGGTGTAAGAAATATAGGTCATAGTCTCACAAACAAGTAGGAATTGAAATCTACCAGAGAAACATTTTATCAACAAAGAAATTTTCAAGTAAAGACTTCATCAACAAAAGACAAAACATAAACTACATGAAAACAACAAACTAAAGAAATACGAGATCATAAAACCAGAAATAATAACAAAAAAACAACAACGAGATTAAAACAGGTCTTGTCCTTGTCAAATTAAAAATGTTTATACATGTAGGGCAAAGGAAATGCATAAAACATGCCACGCTAACGTAAAGGAATAAAGATTTATATTAAGAACGCGTAATGCCTGTTGACCTCATTACAACAAACGTGTAAATAAAGTAATATAAATTTGTGTTTTCCTTCAAAACATGTGAAGAATGAAAAAAGAAAATACATTGGTCGTTTCTATATTAGAATTTTGCTTCCGTCTCCCACTCGAATTACTGTTTGTTTGAACAATGGCGTTTTCTGCACAGCCAGCATTCAACTAACATATAAATTCCGATTATTTACAAACATGAAAAAGTTTCATAATTTGATTAATAGGTATGAGTTTAAAATGTAAAAGGTTAACATTAGCTATTTTCTATATTGATCGATGGAATGTTCTGTTTAGTTTAATTATTAAAATATTCATATATCGTGTCATTTGCAAAAAAATCTCACAGCTACACTAATGAGGAAAGTGATGAACTGATGTTTATTCATGATTCTAACACCTTATTTACATACAAAACAGTGGTCTTGTGAAATTAACGCTAATATTTTTTCACATTCGGAACTGATATAGGCTAACTATATTTTTTACATTTTAACCATAAAAATGATAATTTTATATTATTGAAAATATTTTGAATACATGTTTATCTACGGAGAGACATGAAAATAACATAAGGGAGACACCATGTATGGGTTGAGACACTTGTGACAATGAGGACCACACATCCTCGCCAACGCGTACATAACTCACCTAAGGAAGGCGCCATTTGTCAGTCTCCTACTTCATATGTTGTTTATTTTCGTAAGTCTTTTGACAATTTAAAAAAATGACTTATTCAAATTTAGTAAAATTTCTGTGGAAAGTTATCGTTAGCATGCAAATGATTGTTTAATCTACGCGGGGGGTGGCGTGCGAGGTGTGAGGTGTATAACTCTGGGACAGATTATAAGTGTTATGCTGTCAGTCTTGTCACCACCACAGCCTAAGGTGATTTACGGCAAACACAAGATTTTTTCCTCTCAACAGCTATTAAACTCAACGATTGTTTCGGTGAGGTAGGTAGCGCCGACCTCAACCACATTTTGTTTAATGATCTTGTCAGGGGAGCGTTCGCTTCGTTATTAATTTTCTTGATTTAAGTTTTATGATATAACTCTTTTCTAGCACTTACGAGAGG